CCCCCGCCCCTGGCTCCCCTCAGCCCCTCACCTGAGGCGGCCCCTCAGGCCCGGCCTGACTCCCTCCCACCCGCCTTTTTCTTGCAGAGGATGCCACCGGGCGCTACATCTCCCCCTTCCACGATATCCCTATCTACGCGGATGCTAGCAAGGTACGACGGGATAGGGGCCGCAGCGGGGAGCCGCACCAGGCCGGTGTGGCCTCGTTGGCCGGGTTCTGTGAGGCTGAAATACCCCCAGGGAGGCTCCCCGGCCCTTCTGGTGCTTTTCGGCAGGAGCAGCCTCACGGAAGCATCACCAGATCTTGCAAAGAATCGGTCTTCTCACAGTCTGGGCTTTGTGAAGAGCTACGCAGAACAGAACAGATGGTCTCATTCTCATATTCGTGTCTGAGAGATGAATGTTTTTGTCTTGAACTTGCCCATGAGGTCACATGAAAGCTTTTTGGGTTGAAAGAAGCAGTTTCCCATTTAGCTAAATGTCTGCATCCCCTCCTATGGAGGTATAGGCTCATGCTGTGCGGTATTTCAGGCTATTTCAGACTGCAGTAAGGCTGCAGTATAATCAGCTGCTGAACAGAAGGTGAGGATGTTAAATTCTTGCTGTAGCGACTCCTGGGGACCTCCTGTCTTGCAAAAAGTGCAGCTGGAGAACGTGCCACATGCAGTGATGCTTTTACATCCTTCCATCAGCCAGCAGTTAGTCAAACTAGGCTGTTCTGAATCACTGTCTAAGCTGCCCCAGCTCTGGGAAACCAAAATGGTTGTGCTTCAGTTTTCACTGATTGCTTTCTCACTGGTAACTTGGGTACTCCGACTGTGTTTCTTACCTTTGTAGCTTGTTTCTTCTTTTAACGCTTACTGAAAAGCTGTGCAGCTTGTGAAATGTAGCAGGTGAACTGTTCTAATGTTTGTGTTAAACAGAGATGTTACCTGGAGGTAGAGAGAAGTTCTGGGATAGGAAAAGTACATGCAGAGTTTGGAGATGAACCTCTAAAAAAGCAGCTGATTGAGCTTTGAGGTGCAGGTGTCTGGGAAGAACACGCTCTGGAAAGTCTGAGGTGGCTTTTGCCTGCTCAGAAGGGAAAAGACGGATTATGATTATCAAGGACAGTGGCGAAGCAGTTTCTGTGGCCGACTGGGAAAGCAGTTTTCAAAAACAGGTGTCTGAAAGGTGACTTGGACAAGGAAAATCCAGATAATACTACACTTTGCAGACATTTGCAGAATAGGAGAGGAAAGAGCAGGGTAGCGAGTATAGGGGTGAGGAGAGTTTCCACCACTGGTAATGATTAACAAGGGAAACTGGACTACTGGTGTGCCCTCAGGCGCTTAGTGCCACTTGCCAGCTTCTCAGTGCCAAGTTATTAAGAGAAGCAAGTATCACTGAAGGTCGCAGTCCCCAAAGTTACACAATAGTGCTGATGACGTTAGACCTCTTTCTGTTGCTGGAGTGCCGCTCTGCAGAGATTTTACTCGTTAGTTAGCAGGTTCATTACCAGCTATGGTCAGGAGCCCAGCTTGGAGCAGAAGATTGTCTTACTCTGTCTGGGCTCCTTGATCTTTATCCTTAGACTTCTAAGACACTGAGAGGATTGTAGGGTGGGTTTTTTCAGTCTCCGGCTGGGATGTGCTGACCTTATCTGTACCTGTGTGTCTTGGCATTGAGAAGGAATGACCTTGGGTTACTCCCTGCGTGTCTTAGACCAAGGCAGATCTGTCGGTTGGACTGTGGGGAAACTGTGAGCCTAGCACAGATGCACCCCTGAGTTGTCTTTCCTTACCTGCAAAGCCATAAGCAGCCTGCCTTGCCAGTTCTGGTTGCCTCTTTCCTTTCCTCGAGTTACTTATAAATACAAATAGTATAGACCTTTTTACTTTCAAGTTGCAATTCAGCAGTGACTCCCTGCAATTAAAGGGACTAATAAACTTCTGTTAGGGAAGTGTTGTGAGCAAAGTCAACGATGTTAACAGCACTTGTTGCACAAGTGATCTAATTATGGCGCAATACAGGTGCAAGGGATTTTGCAGTGCTAATACTGCTTAACCTGGGGATTAGAAACCTTGTCGATGCTAGAGAACAAAGTTTGACTTTTTGTTAAAAGCCATAATCTCTTCAAAATCAAGTGTTAAGGCTCAAGTGTGAAAAAGCTTGTTTTCTTGGAGAGGAAGCTCTGGCATTGAACTCTCAAGAGCCCTCAGCCCAGCTGGAGTCAACAGGAGATGTTTTCAGTCATCACCTGTGAACTAGATACTGCAAAACGTGGTTCTGCATTTCTGCCCCACATCTTTATCCCCGCACTGTGCTGCTAACAAGGTCTGTTGGCTTGGAGGGGGGGAAGCTTGGGCATCTCTCCCTACTTCAAGACAGACGTGACGTTCTCGGTCGTTCAGGATAGTACATAGGCAGCCACATGACTAAGCAGATGGCTTACTCCTGTAAGCTTTGTCTCTTCCAAGTTGCCAGGGTGGCTCTTGCTGTAGCATTAAGTGCTTAGTATTTAATAAGTGTGTCTAAAACCTAATTTTGCCGTGCCCCAGGGTAGTTGGTATGCATTTGTCTTAGATTCATTTAAACCTGCTGTTCCATAACCTAGGAACATGATGGAGATGTTCATAGGTGGCAACTGATGGAGCATGCATGTGTAGCCTCAGTCTGGCTTTTGCTGGTGTCTTTCCCGGGACTCAGCTTTGAGTGATGAGATGTGACTGACTGGGCTGTGGGACTTCTGTCAACTGTATCAAAACTGGCACCGGGAAAAACAGGAAAAGAAAGTTATGGTTTTCATGTGAACTGGCAGGTTTTCATGCTTACTTATTTGTGTACCCTAGTTTAAAGTGTGGTCTTCAGATTCCTTCCCGTTCACTGATATTTTGCTTTTTTCAGAATGTGTTCAACATGGTTGTGGAAGTACCTCGATGGACAAACGCTAAAATGGAGGTAACTATATTACAGTTCCAAGCTTAAGTGCTCTAGCTGACTACTCGGTTAGTCTTTGGCTTTGCTGATTCTCTCCTCCTCACCTCCACATCCTGAATACTGGTGGCTCCATAACTAGCAAGAAAATACTTCAGCCCTAATAAATAAGGCCTTTCAAAACCTGCCGTACTGCGGGCATCACATCAGGGGAGCTCTCTAGATGTAATTCTAACTTCTTGTATAAATACTTGCTTAATTCTAGAGGTGTAGTATGGAGGCTGAGGCTGGCAGAAGTTGGAATAACTGAGCATTCTTCTATAGCTTCTGATTAAAGGAGCATTTTATGGCTCTCAACCACGTGTGCTTCTGACGTTTGTAGGTCTGCTGAAAGCTACATCCCAGGAGATGGCGATACAACAGGAAATGGAGTTGTCCAATATCTACTGATGGCTTCAGGGTCAGCTCCTGACCTCTTGGCTTGTCCGTTAGCAGCCAGCTTGAATAAAAAAAAAAATAATCGCTTGGGTTTTCCTAGAAAGCAAAGTAGAAAGATTTATGTAACTTTTCTTTCAGATTGCAACAAAGGATCCCTTAAACCCAATTAAGCAAGATGTGAAGAAAGGAAAACTGCGCTATGTAGCGAACGTGTTTCCCCATAAGGGTTATATCTGGAATTACGGTGCTATCCCACAGGTACTGTGGCTCGTTTTGGTGGCACGGAGGAGGGAGGATGCCTGTGTGTGTGTGTCTCTGACTACAACCAAATTAATGAGCTAAAAGTGTGATTGGGAACAGAGCATTTGCAGCTGCCTGTGTAATCTGGTTAATGAAGAGAACCTGTCAAGAAAGCAGAGATACTTTTAAGCAGAAATCTTAAGAGGCAGGCTTGTAGCTAACGCTACAAGCTAGACTAACATCTTGACCTGTTAGATTGTAGTAGATGCCCTGATCTCGGTGCTGGATCTGAGAAAGGCCCTTGGCAGTCCAGAGATGGTGTGAGGCGGATGTCTGCAGCTGCACAGACATGCTCCCTCTGAAACAGCTGGCAAGAGGGACTGACAGATGGTGATACCTGGGCACATGCTCTTAACTTGCTGGTGCCTGTGAGGTAAAGAGGAGCTTTGAGCAAGGCCGTTTGCTTCAGATGTTCTCTGAGGTTTGAGTTTCCTTTGGAGAAATAAATCGTCAGTGACAGTTCACAGGGAAACATGCTGAATTTTATAATTCTAGTTGATAGCAGTGCGTGTCGAGTGTTTTCTCCAAATGTCTTCTATAGCTTCTGGATGGTGAACTCGAAATACGTGGTACTTTGACACAAACATAGAAAGTCTGTTTAGATACAGCCCTGAAGAAAACGAGCAGGCAGCCTGTGTCCTTCTGAGCAAAACGATGTGGCTTTCAAGTGGAATCCAATGGGATTTTGCAATCCCAACAGAAAAAAAAAATAGGAAAGGGAAGATGCTCCTGTCTCTAATGGGGCACAGTGGGGTGGTCTAGGTGATGTTTCTGAAGAAAGATGAGAGCCAAAGACAGTCTGGTGGGGAGCAAAGGAGACAATTTCACCTCTAGAATCTCTTCCCATATAAAGAGAGAAGGAGGGAGTCTGGAGCTCCTATGTCTGGAATAGAGTGGATGGAGGCAAGTCTTCAAATGCATGAAATGCTGCTGCAGAGTGAGAACAGATAGCGACTGAATTGTTTGACCTCTCTGTTGTGGTGAGGACAAGTAATGGCCTTAACCTTACAATATTCTCCTCCAGTTCATACCGCAGGGCAAACCTTTCCTGTGGCCAGAATGGCAAAGTACTGGGATGGGTGGCCTGGGAGTGATTTCGCTAGAACTGGCCTTGCTTTGAGTGGAGGGATGAGCTCAGCATCTCAAGGTCTCTTCCAACCCTTTCGTGATTTAAAATTTTACAGGATAAAACACTGTGGCTTGTGACAGAGTAACTTCTAGGTCCTGTGTGGAGTTTCTCCTTGAATTCTGAATGTATGTGCAACTCCTCTCAAGCTGTGTAGGCTTCCAGAGCTACTCTGGATTTCTCGAACTGCTGGAGAGGGATGTTCTCCAATGTTAGTCTGTCATGGTTTCTTGGCTTAAGGTGGTGTTTTGAAGGTTAATTGTTTTCTGCTCAGATGAATTCTGGAACCAGTTTCTTTGCACAGTTACAACTTCTGGAGCCTTCACCCAGTCGTGCATTAGTGGCCCAAAGAGGTGTAGGTAAGGGACTGAACTTAGCACTGCTTTGTAGAGAAGTGTGATAGCGATTGTGAAGAGTCCTTCAGCACCACCACGTTTCAGTACATCTTCCTGAATGCTCTGGATGCTTCACGAGGTCTCGACTGTGCTAGTCGTGTCCTGGCATGCAGAGATTTGGGAAGAGCATTCCTTCTTTTTATATCTCAACAACCTTAGAGGTAGGTGCTCCTTGTGATGCAAGTGGGCACGATGTCCTTTCGCTCTTGATCAGAAGTATGTGTTTTAAGCAGCTATTATTTTTGGAGGCATAGCTCAAATGCCTTCTGTCACTGCTGTAGTGTGACAGCATGTCTTTAGTTGTTTAATTAAAAGGAAATAATACACCCTGTCCGTCTTCCATCTCTGTTGGACTGCTATCTGGAGTTCAGGAAGCTTCTGTTAAGAAATGAATAGTGAGAGGAACAGGCAGGCAGCCAAATCAATGAGTGTTCTTTATAGATGTGAACTTCACCTTTATGCAGCTGCAAAACGGAGGAGGAAGTCTCGAAAGTTGTTGAAAAAAGGTTTGTCAGTGGGAGGGAGCAGTTTACACTTGGCAAGATAAGACCTTTTAGCTTGGATTCAAGCTGCATTTGCAGGCAGTGTGAAATACTAGCCCAACCACTAGACCTGAAAGCAAGTGTGAAGTGGGCCATCATCTGTATCTTCCAGGCAACTGCATGCCTGAAATAAACCTGCTTTTTCTTTCCTGTTGAAACCTGAGAGTTCTGATTTGT